TGTCTTTGCCCTTGTCCTGAGAAGAACATGCTGGGGGTAGTCCTCTGGGCCCAGGAGGAGGATGAGAGACAAGTGTAAGAGAGTCACCCCAGCCAAACAGGATCGAGCCTCCAGAGGACTCGCGGTCTTACGATGGGAAGTCTTGAGTCCCAAGATCTGCCAACCCATGGACACGTGAGCTGCAGATTTACATGAGAGTAGATTTAAGCCACTGAGTTTTGGGATGATTTGTTATGTGATGGTTGCTAACTGATAAGAAATGTCTTTGTTGTTTTATGGAATGCTTACTGCGTGCCAGGCACTATCTAGGCACGGGAGATACAGTGCTGAACAAGGTCCTTACTCGCAGGGAGCTCATGTGAGAGTGGGGATATGGCAAAGGGAGATAGAATGACGCCAGGACTTCCGGCTGCTAACTGGGTGCATGGTGGTACCAGTAATCAGGATGGGTCGTAGGAGGATAACAGGTTTTGGGGAAAAGATAATGAGTTTGATTTAGGAAAGGAACTGGAGGTGCCTATGGGACATTTAAGTGGACGTATCCAGGAACGAGTGGGATATGTAGGTGCAGAACACAGGAAAGATGTCTGGCTGGGGACTGCAACTTATCAACATGATAAAACAAAAAATCAGCTTGGCCAGTGTGGGTCAGTGGTTGAACATGGACCCATGAACCAAGAGGTCCCCCATTCGATTCCCGCTCAGGGCACATGCCTGGGTTGTGGGCTCAATCCCCAGTAGGGGGCTTGCAGGAGGCAGCCGATCGGTGATGTTTCTCTCTACCCCTCTCCCTTCCTCTCTGTCTAAAATAAATAAAAACATATTAAAAACAAACTGAAAATCAGATGTACCAAAGAGAGACATAATTAAGTGTTGTGGATATTCAGAGGAAAAAGATAGGACTTGTGTCTGGGAGGATGAAAAAGAATTTGTTCTAAAGGTAACCTTTAAGCTGGGTTTGTGCTTGTGCGGTGAGAGGAGAAAGGCACACCAACACCATGGACAGGATTTGCGGAGGCATGGAGGTAAAACAGAGAGCTGGACTGTGAGAGTAAGGCTGAAGAAGTAGATTAGAGTGAGAGCGTGGAGAGCCTTGAATGCCAGGCCAAGGATGGTAAAATAAATAAAAACATATTAAAAACAAACTGAAAATTAGATGTACCAAAGAGAGACAGAATTAAGTGTTGTGGATATTCAGAGGAAAAAGAGAGGACTTGTGTCTGGGAGGATGAAAAAGATTTTGTTCTAAAGGTAACCTGTAAGCTGGGTTTGTGCTTGTGCAGGTGAGAGGAGAAAGGCACACCAACACCATGGACAGGGTTTGCGGAGGCATGGAGGCAAAACAGAGAGAGCTGGACTGTGAGAGTAAGGCTGAAGAAATAGATTAGAGTTAGAGCGTGGAGAGCCTTGAATGCCAGGCCAAGGATGGTGTAGGGCAAGCATGTCAAACTCAAAGGCTAACACGGGCCAAATAAATAAGGTTTAAGTTTATGTGGGCTGCAAAAAAACAAAAGCTTCAATTTTCATAGAAACGGATATGTAGGTGCAGAACACAGGAAAGATGTCTGGCTGGGGACTGCAACTTATCAACATGATAAAACAAAAAATCAGCTTGGCCAGTGTGGGTCAGTGGTTGAACATGGACCCATGAACCAAGAGGTCCCCCATTCGATTCCCGCTCAGGGCACATGCCTGGGTTGTGGGCTCAATCCCCAGTAGGGGGCTTGCAGGAGGCAGCCGATCGGTGATGTTTCTCTCTACCCCTCTCCCTTCCTCTCTGTCTAAAATAAATAAAAACATATTAAAAACAAACTGAAAATCAGATGTACCAAAGAGAGACATAATAGCCCCTGGAGGGGGGGGGTCCCTCAGCCTGGCCTGCCCCCTCTCACAGTCCAGGAGCCCTCAGGGGCGGGAGGAGACCCGGCGATCAAGGGAAGGCGATGCCCCCATCACACCTCTGCTGCTGCCACTGCCGGCAGCGCAAGTTTCGGGCGGCTCTGGTTACCTGTGCCTCGGGCAGCCCTGGGCAGCTGGGAAGCCAACATCAAGGCTTGGCTGGCCCTGGGAGGCTGGGGGGCTGAGGGGACTGGGTGCTGCCATCTTTGAGGGCGTGACAGTCAATTAGCATATTCCCTCCTTATTGGCTATGGGTGCTGACATCTTTGTGGCAGCGTGAGGGTCAGTTAGCATATTCCCTCATTGGCTGTGGGCACCGACATCTTTGCGGCAGCGTGAGGGTCAATTAGCATATTCCCTCTTTATTATATAGGATTATATATAACAGGATATTGTAAAAATTAAGTTACGAAATTGTTATTAAAATGTTTCGTGCATACCACTGTATTGGCTGGGCCACAAAAATATTCGTTGTGGGCCGCGTGCAGCCCGTGGGCTGCGTGTTTGACATGCTTGGTGTAGGGTTTCATTAGGAAATAGGGAGCCATTGAAGGTTTTTGAACAGGGGAGTGACACTAGGCACTCATGTCTAGGAGATGGAGAGTAGTTTGTAGTGGGATGCGTTTTAAAGTTAAGAGATACAGATTCCAGTCTCAGCTCTTGCATTCACTGGCCCTGGGATATGGGCAAATGACCTCACTGAGCCCCAACTATCTCTCTTAAAAAACAGGAGTAAAGCCCTGGCTGATGTGGCTCAGTTGGTTGGAGCGTCATCCTGTACACCAAAAGGTGGTGGGTTCCATTCCTGGTCAGGGCACATACCCAGATTGTGGGTTCTAGCCCTGGTCCAGGTGCGTATAGGGGCCAACTGATTGATGTTTCTCTCTCACATCAATGCCTCTCTCTCTCTCTCTCTCTCTTCCTATCTCTAAAATCAATGAAAAGCATATCTTCCTCCAGTGAGGATTAAAAAGAAAAAGTGGGAGTAAAACTACCTGCCCTTCACATGAATCTTCTTTGGTTGTTGATAATCCTCACCCGAGGATATTTTTTCCCCATTGATTTTTAGAGAGAGTGGAAGGGGCAGGGAGAGACAGAAACATCCATTGGTTGCCTCCTGCACGTGCCCCAACCAGGGCCAGGGATCAAGCCTGCAATCAAGGTATGTGCCTTTGACCAGAATCCAACCCGATACCTGTCAGTCCATGGCTCTATCCACTGAGCCAAACCGGGTAGGGCCACATTAATCTTAATTGTGTAAAAACCAATGACAAAATGTGAATGAAAGTGCTTGGAAGACCATAAAGCAATGCATAAAGGTGTGTATTTTGTGACTAGGCTTCTGAAAGATGATACTGGAGTTCCTAGACAGGTGGGCAGACTGCAGATGTCATCTTGTTAACCTCTGACCCCTCTCCCACCTTGGAGAGGGGATTGACAGCAAAGCCTGGTGTCCACTGGCAGCTGGCCTGCTGGGATTCATGATCCCATACTCTGTCTTCCTGTTCTCGATGCAGCCCTGGACCCCCCCATCCCACCGTCCCCACAAACAACACGTGTCATTTAGAGAATGCCTGTTTGCGAGAGGCCTGTGCCATGGCTGCCGAAGAGAAGACCGGAAACATTTGCTGCCCTCAAGGAGTACACAGCCTACTTGGATCAAAAGGGCATGTGCCTAAAATAGTAAATAGGGTGGCATTTGATAAAGGGCCAATGAGTGGTCTAGACAGCTGCTGGGGAAGGGTGAGGAGAAAGCAGAGAGGCCTGAGGGCTGGGCCTTGAGGACTGGGCCTTAAGAGAAAGGAGGGGGAGGGGAAGAGAAGTGGAGGGAAGATTCTCTCCTCTGTCAGCTCACTGGTTTCCTTTCACTATCGAAACTAAACACCAAAACCCTGCTTAAGGGAGCACTTAAGGACAAATGTGACCACAAGGAGCTACCACTTCATACCCATTAGGATGGCCATCCTCAGAAAACCAGAAATAACAAGTGCTGGCAAGGATATAGAGAAACTGGAACCCTTGTGCGTGGCTGGTGAGAATGTAAAAACGGTACAGCCACTACGGAAAACAGCAAGGCCATCTTCAAAAAAATAAAAATAGAATTACCAGGTGATCCAGCCATTCCACTTCTGAGTATATCCCCGAAAGAGTTGGAAGCAGGGACTCGAGCAGCATTATTCACAATAGCCAAAAGGTAGGAGCAACCCGTTAATGGATAAATGAATAGACAAAATGTGATATATCTAGATAGATGGATCACAATGCAGCCTTAAAAAGGGAAAGAAATTCTGACACATGCTATCATATGGATAAACCTTGAAGACACTCTGCTAAGTGAAATAAGTCAGACACAAAAGGACAGATATTACATGATTCCATTTAAATGAGGTGCCTAGAGTAGTCTAATTTATAGAGACAGAGAGTGGACTGGTGGTTGCCATGGGCTGGGGAGGGGATGAGAATTCGTGTTTAATGAATATGGAGTTTCAGTTGGGGATGATGAAAAGGTTCTGGAGAAAGATGGCAGTGGTGGTTGCACAACAGTGTACTTAATTGTACACTTAAAAATTACTAAAATGGTAAATGTTATATACACGTTAGCACACATGCATGAAAGACGAATATGATGGCTTGCTTAGAAAGATCTCAGAAACATGAGGAAAAGTGAGGAAAGAGATGAGGACCCCAGGGGGGCCTGGTGAGAAACCAGCTCGTAGCCTGGAAATGGGGGTGATTGATGGGCCAGGCCAGCTGACTCTCACTGACCACATCCAAAAAAGCTAGTCTAGGAAGGGTAGCAGACACCTTCCTCCAAGAAGCATTTGAGAAGAGTTACTCAGAGGAAGCCAGTGGGGAAGTTTGCTTTCTTCATTTCTCATGCCCACGGCTCAGGTAAGGAATATGGGATAAAGTAATGACCATGGAATAAGGTCGAGATTATGGTTGTTAACCAAAGAGAAAGGCAGAGGCAGGTTTGAAATCCACTCGGCCTTGGTTGCATCAGAGACCTGGACTGGATGGTGGGAAGGCAGCAGGAGAGGCTCAGCCCTCCCTGCCTCCCTCCCTCCTTCCCCCTCTCACCTGTCTCCTCTGTGTCCCAGCAGCTGGCTCCCGTGGGCGCCATGGCTTCCGTGGAGCCCCTGACGGCGCTGTCCCGCTGGTACCTGTACGCCATCCACGGCTACTTCTGCGAGGTGATGTTCACGGCGGCCTGGGAGTTCGTGGTGAACTTTAACTGGAAGTTCCCGGGGGTCACGAGCGTGTGGGCGCTCTTCATCTACGGCACCTCCATCCTGATCGTGGAGCGCATGTACCTGCGCCTGCGGGCCCGCTGCCCGCTGCTGGTGCGCTGCCTCATCTACACGCTCTGGACCTACCTGTGGGAGTTCACCACCGGCTTCATCCTGCGCCAGTTCAACGCCTGCCCCTGGGACTACTCCCAGTTTGACTTTGACTTCATGGGCCTCATCACCCTGGAGTACGCCGTGCCCTGGTTCTGCGGGGCCCTCATCATGGAGCAGTTCATCATCCGGAACACCCTCCGCCTGCGCTTCGACAAGGACGCTGAGCCGGGGGAGCCCGGAGGCCCCCTCGCCCTGGCCAACGGCCACATCAAAACTGACTGAGTGGGGGACGCTTGGGGGAAGGGCTGGGGTCTCTCATGGACCCTGTGGAGAAAAGTACGAAGCTGGTGGAGTTGCCCCTTCTGTACAGCACAAGCCCTGCCTCACCCTGGCCTCAGCCCTGCCGGGCCACACAGCCCCAGGTTCAGCCCTGCGGGGTGCACACAGCCCCAGCCCAGCCTCAGCCCTATAGGGCGCATACAACCCCAGCCCAGCCTCAGCCCTGCGGGGTGCACACAGCCCCAGCCCAGCCTCAGCCCTGTGGGCCCCACGCAGCCCCCATCCCTCCACTGTGGGCTGGTGTTGGGGGCGGGCTGTCGAGGCAGCAAAGGGACTTGGGGGTTGGTCCGTGGATCTCACCCCAGCTCAGAGGCTTCACAGGGACTAGACTGCGCGGGTGACTTTGGAAGCAGCAGGCCCTGCCCTGGCTACGGGACTCTGAGAAATGGGCAAAAGGCGAGAGGCAGGTCTGAGGAGGCTTAGGGCTGCTGCCTCGGCCACCTGGTTCCTTCTCACCTGGTTTAGTTGGGCTTTGGCTGGTTCCGTTAGGCAATATTCAGGTGCTTGCTTGCAACCAATACCTCCCCGGGGGCCTGCTGAGAGACTGGGCAGCCAGGAAGCTGCTTGGAGCCGTGCTAGTCTGCAGGGCTGGGAGGCCTTCCCTTGGCTCCTCTCCCTTCCCCCAGGGCCCCACGCTGCTCTCTTGGCCTCCTGGGGGCCCCCTGGTGCTGGATTCCCACCAACCTTGGGCTTTTGGAGGTTTCAGTCCCTGTGCTTTTGGTGGCGTTTCCCCCCTTTCTCGCTTATTTTTTAAGGCCTTTACCACTATCAGCCCTTTATCCATGTCAGTCACCCACCAACCCCCAACTTCCACTCCCCGGCCAACACAGCAGCTGCCAGAGATAGAACCCTGAGACACCCCACCGGCCCTCCGCAGCCCTTCCTCCACTGTTACCCCAATCCGGTGGGCTGTGGCAGTGCCCTGGTGCTCTTCTCCATCCATGCCCCCTCTTCACAGTGGCCCAGCTAACAGTGAATGACACCCACAACACACAGTCGGGCCAAGATGGGCCCCACAGATCCACAGTGGGGACCCAGAGACAAATCAGTGTGTGTGGGGGGTGCCGTGGGGAGGGCGGTAAAGGCACGCCTGACGGTTCATTTTCAGTCCAGTCAGGGGCGGTCTAGCATTCTAGGGGATGGGGGAGCAGGATCCAGTGTTGCAGACTATGGAGAAGGAGTGAGGAAGACCCTCCCATCTGGTGGGAAGGGATCAGTTCTGGATCTGCCATAGCCCCAGCCCTGCAGCAAAACCTCCTCAGGGCCACCCCTCCCCAGCAAGACTGACACTTCGAGCTTGTTCCTCAAACAGTATTAACCCTGCCACGCTCATGGGCGTTGTCACCTTGGGTGCCCATGACAGGTCCGTTGCTGGCAGTGGACAGGTGAAAACCTCCCTCCAGCCCACTTCCGGCTCTGCCCCCACTTGCCAAGGGGAGGGTCCATCAGAACACAGCCTTCCCCACGGTACGTGGTCTCTACTGACCACACTAGAACTCTTAGGTAGAAATTAGCCTTCCCCTTTTTATAGAGCATTAAAAAGTGATCATGCCACCTCTGGAGAGAATCTCCTCTTCCTTGCTGTGCTGCTCCACCCAGACCCTGCAGACAGCACCGGGTCAGGGCAGGCGGGCGGCTGTGGGCAGGAGTGGTGTCCAGGATTGGGAGAAGGGCGGGGGAGACTCTGGCAGGGTTGCTCTCTGCACTTGACCTTGTCCATGACAGGTTGAAGGGCGTTTTCCAGCCTCCGTGTCCTGGGTAGGCTCGTCACATCCAGGCATGAACTACATTCTGCTGGGGCCAGCCCTGGCTTTGGTTTACCTGCGGCCCCAGTTCTAGGGCTTTGGGGCTCCTAGGGGCTTCAGGCTGCCAGTGGGGGTAGATGGTGCTCTGTCTACAGCTGCAGGGGATTCCAGAGGAAGAACATTGCCTGGCTTCCCTGTTCCCTGGGGAATCGTTTCCTTGGTCCTCCCCTCCAACTCCATGCTATGTCAGTCTCTTGGACCCCAACACCCTCACAGGCCCCCATGTGGGCTCCTAGACCCTACCACCCACCTTCGCTCTCCCCTTCCACGATGGCATCTGGTGGTCAGCTTGTTGATGTCTCCCAGCATAAGGCCTCCACAGTTCTCGGCCTGCCAAGCCCTTGGATGGCCCACTGGATCTGGCCTTTCAAGGTGTTGCCCTGTGGACATGCCTTGGCACCATCTTTTCCCTGTGCAGGAGGTCCTGGAGCAAGCCTGCCTCCCTGGCAATGTGCAGAGCATTGTGTTTCTGCTTCATGGGGTCCCCTGCAAAGGGAGGCAACGAGCCAGGGCTTGGCCACAGGATCAGCAGGCTCGGTCAGAGCCCAGACCTCAACTCCTCTTTTATTTGGTATCTTCAGGGCCCCAATTCCTTAGTGCCCAGGGCCTCAAGGTTTAGAGGAATCCCAGCCCTGCTGAGCAGTGGGGGTGCTGGTGGAGAGAGTCAGCTTGCTGTGTCTGAACCGCTGGTGTCCTGGGTCTCTCCGCTGGACATCGCAGCATTTCTGAGTTACAGATCGCCATGTGCTGCCCCGCATGGTTGGACCACTTCCGTGTCTGCTAGGTGTCCTGTCCCTCGTGCCCTGTTCCCTCGGATGCCAGTGAGTCATAATGGCATCGCAATGGCCTATGCTTATTCTCAGCAATAATACCTAGGGAGTGGCCATGAGTCCTTCTGTCCTGGTCCCTTGCCCTCTGCATGGGTCTCCCGGAGAGGCAGCCGCTGAGTGGGTCAGTTCGTCAGAACCTGTATCTATGGAGCTCTGGGCTGTGCACACGTCTTCGCAGGGGATGCAGGGGCCCAGCGCTGGAGGAGCTACGGATAAGGCAGGGAGCTCACCTGCCACCCTGAGGCCACCCAGACCTGGAGGAGCTGCAGGTCCTGGCTCTGAGGCAGGTGGGACTGTCTCCCAACTGCGGCAGCTCCTCAGCAGGACACACGACTGGTTTGTGCGCCCATTGCCTGCTCTGTCTCCGTTAGTCTCTCTGTCTTTCTTTTCACATCCGTGCACATAAAATATACTGGTGTTTGTGTTCCAGGACTGGCTCTGACCCATGTCTGTCGTCTTCTATTTTGGAGCCCCTTCCCCAGGGCTGCCGGGAGCCAGCCCCTTCACACCCGGGCATCACCCTATCCTGAACCCAGAGGGCTGCTGGGTGGGGCCGCCCTGGGGGGAGGGCAGGTGGCACTACCAGCCAGTCCTTTTCCCTGTCTTTGCTCTGACCCTCTCTGGAAACCCAAATTCTCCACCCAACCCCCGACTGCCCACCAGGAGCATAATCTGGTCCAGGCCTTACTTTAGTCCCAGGATACAGGGCAGATGGGGAGTCCGGGTGTATCCAGGGTGGCTACAGGTTGGCTGTATCTGCCCATGAGATGAGCTCCTCTCGAACATGCCAGCCATGACCTGGGATGTCTCAGGGGGTGGGAAGGCACAAGGGAGGAGGCTGAGGATGCCTCAGAGAGCCGGAAGCTAGACTCCCTACTTTCCATTGTCTAACAGTCACACTTTGAAGACACAGGACTCTGCGCTCTCCTGGCAGCGCTGCCTTCCCAGAGATGTGCCTTTGCAGGGAGCGGTCCCTCCCTCCTTCGTGTACCTCTGCTCTATGGAGCGGCCTTTGTCCCTTCCCCCCAGGATTCTCCTGACCACTTTCCTGCTTCCAGGGAGAGGGTTCAGATTTGCTTAGTCAGTTCAACTAAATACCCATGGCTTGACCCCTCCCACTCCAGCCCCCACCCCGCCACAGCTAGGCTGTAGCACCCTGGCTGGCTGGCTGGCTGGAGTAGGCAGTGTAGTGTGCTTTCTGAATCACCAGGACGGCTCTCGACACCCCCCGCCCCCCCCCCGCCCCCACTCACCTCAAGCTATTTATTTCTTTGACTGAAAGCTTCCCCCCTTATAAAAATGAGCAAGTATGAAGCCCCAACAGTCCTTTACATGTTAATGTAAATAAACCTATAAGGCCATTCCTTAGAGCAGGTTTCTATAGAAAGAAACTGGCAAGTATAATGAAATGGTCCACGTATGGAACTTCAGAGAAGAGGCATGAGGTGGGGCTCAGAACAAGAAGGCTGAGGGCACTCAAAACCCTTCTTTAAAAAAAATTTTTTTTAATTGATTTTAGAGAGAAAGGGAGAGGGAGAAAGAGATAGAAACATTAATGATGAGAGAGAATCATCAATCGGCTGCCTCTTGCACACCCCTCACTGGGGATCAAGCCCACAACCCAGGCATGTGCCCTGACCGGAAATCGAACCATTAACTTCTGGTTCCTGGATCGACACTCAACCACTGAGCCACACTGGCTGGACTCAAGACCCTCCTGTCCTCTATCAGCTGGTGCCTTCCTTTCTTGATACTTTCCTTCCTTACTCCCTTCACCCAATCCAGGAACACCTTCTGACAACACTAGAAGTTCTCTAGGAAAGCTAAGGTCAAGGCCCTTGGCTGCATCTTATGAAATCTGCCCAAGCTTTGCAAAAGCCTGATGCCTAATTAATAACAGTGAATGAATGACTACAACCTTGCCTTGCCTGTTGGGAAGTGCCTATCTCAGAAGGATGCAACCCAGGGACGGCTGTTTTGTGGGCAGGGAAACAGGTCCAGCAAAAGTGACCAACTCATCGTACTGCAGGTTAAAGGGAGCCGGGCTTAGTTTTAACAACAGCTGCAACCCTGATTTACCACCTCACTCTGTTTCAGCGTAAGCAGCAGACACTTCTGGGAGGATTTGTGATGAGTCAGGGTACTCTGCTGTACTTTGATGAGATTATGGATGTCGTTAGAGACCAAATGCTATTCGCAGAGAAAAATTAATGTTTGAGAGAGGGAGAGTTGGGGTTATAAGGAAGAAGGTATGGGAGGCCATCTTAGCCAGGACTTTAAACAATTGCCACAAGGCTCCATCCCTGTGGAGGGAGGGTTGTGAAATTTTGGCCTCTTGAAACCCTGGGCTTAGAGTTGAAACTTCTCCCTCCTACATATGTTTTGTTTATGCCCTGGGCCTTTTCCCTTTGATCCTATTTCTATTACATGAGGTTAAGGCTGGGCCCCTTACTGTAGGTATTCTCACAGGGTTTGAAAGTACCAAATGAAACCTTTCTCCTTCTGAAAGCTTTCTGATGGATCTGATAATTGACCTGGTTAGTTCTTCAACTTCTTATTGGACACCACAGTGAGCCAGGGACCAGGCTAGTTACTGGGGTGTGTACAGCTAGTCAGGGAGAAAGACGTTGCATCACTACAGTGTTAATAGTCCCCCGAAGGAGAAGCCTCCAACAGAGGAAACTGACTGGTCTATAGGGATAGGTAAGGATTCCCCAGGTAAGAGACACCATAGACCTGAAGGTCAAGTACCAATGTTTTCAGAGGTAGACTGGCTTCTCACTGGCTAGAAATGCAGACGTTGAGTCTACCCCAGGAGGTGCCTAAACAGGTATAGTGCAAAGCACAGCCAACACATAGTGGGTACTCTAAGGAACTCTTGATCAATGAAGTCCTATCAAGGGTCAACCTCAGTAAGCTTACCCTAAAGGCTAGGCAGAATGTTCCAGAGCACCAAGCCTCCCTTGGCACCTGAAGCTAGGAATCCTGTTTGAACAACCTCCCTACCATATCTTTGCTCACCACTGTTGAGCAACTCACTGTCCTCCTTTCTCTTTCCAAACCACTCGTCTCTGCAGAGCCCTGCCAGCACCCCGGCTTCACTCTTAGAGTCTTTGGACCTTGGCCAAAGACCCAGCTCCACGGACTTATCCATAGCTTCACTCTGGTGATACCATTTCTTGGTGTGGGAAAAGCTGGCCTTTGGGTGCCAAGCAGTGCAGAGAAGAAGGATCCAGGGGTAGCCTGGTCTGGCTCCTTGCCTCTGTTACAATCACACCTTCCAAACAGAAAGGAAGTTTTCTGGTTTATAAAGGCCCACCCATGAGGAAGGTTCCTGAGAATGAAGTGTCTTCGTTTGAATGTAGGGCTGTATTGGTTTTCTAGGGCTACTATAATGAAGTACCACAAACGGGGTGGCTTAAAACCACAGAAACGTGTTCTCTCTCAGTTCTGGAAGTCAGAAGTCTGAAGCCAAGGTGTCAGCAGGAGGCTCTGGAGGCACTGGGGCGAATCGGTCTTTGCCTCTTCCAGCATCTGGTGGCTGGGACACTTCCTGGTTTCCTAGGCTTGTGGCAGCATCACTCCAAGTTCTGCCTCCATGGCCACACGGCCTCCTCCTCTTCTGTCTCTGTCTTCTCTTCTGCCTCTTCCTAATCCAATCCATTATCATTGGATTTAAGGCTCACCTACACAATCCAGGATGATCTCAAGATCCTTAATTTAATTACACCTGCAAAGACCTTTTTTCCAAATAAAGTATTTTCCAGGGATTTTATGGTGGACATATCTTTTGAGGGGCCACCATTCAATCCTCCATGGGGGTTAAGCAGGGAGATTCCTGCTGAAGCCCTTGTGTCCTGTACCCATTTAGGAATTCATTAAGAGTGAGAACTGAAAGTACCGTGTGGTGTGACTCAAGAGAGAACTCAAGGCCTTAGGTCAGTGATGGCGAACCTTTTGAGCTCAGCGTGTCAGCATTTTGAAAAAACCTAACTTAACTCTGGTGCCGTGTCACATATAGAAAATTTTTGATATTTGCAACCATAGTAAAACAAAGACTTATATTTTTGATATTTATTTTATATATTTAAATGCCATTTAACAAAGAAAAATCAACCAAAAAAATGAGTTTGCGTGTCACCTCTGACACGCATGTCACAGGTTCGCCATCACTGCCTTAGGTTGAGGATGGAGCTTTCCATTCCAAGATGCCTCCTGTGGCTGCTGTCATTTTTCTGTTTAGCTGTAGATCTGACCATTTCACCCCCTCCTCCAGATGCTTTAATGATTTCCCATTACCTTTAGGATCAAGCTCACCACCTTAGCGAGGCTTACACAGCCCTTTGTGGCTTGGCCTCATTTCTCGCCTCCCCCTCAGTCCCACGCGATCCAGGGAAAATGACTTGTTTCCCCACCAGCTCCCTGCTCACTGCCCCTGGGCCAGCAGCCCCTGTGTTCCTGTCCCTGGAACACTCTGACTCCTCCTCTGAGCCCAACTAGAGACCGAGGAGCTCACTCACAGCCAGCAGCACTGGTTGTCTGTTTACTTCGAGCTCTCCCTGGCCCCAGCTCTCGATTTAGTTCAGCAAACTCAGGATGGGAGCTGTCTCCCTGGAAACTCTCCATGTGACAGCCCGCTAGCAGCAGGAGCTAAGTTCTTCCAGTGCAGTCGATGCAGCAGACTTTCATTTGCCCGTGCGCCTGCCATGCACCAGGACCTGTGCTAGGCTTGTGGGACTACGGTGAACAAGGCAGACCCAGTCTCTGCCCTCCCTTCCCCTGAATTACAGGGTGCCAAGAACTGTGATGAGCTGAGTTAGAGAAAGAAGAATTAACTTGATTTAGGGGGTCAGGAAATATTTCTATGTCTGGTATAGCCAGGGGAGGGGGGAAGTGGGAGGGGAGGTGAAGAGCAGGCCTTCAGGTAGAAAAGACAACACACACAAAGGCGGGGAACCCAGAGAGAGCAGGGAGCCTGTGGGTCTGCAGAAGCAGCCAGGGGTGAGTGATGGAGTCCACGGGGAGCCAGGCCTGGGTCACAAAACGTCTGTAAAGCAAGGCAGGGAGAGACAGTTGATAAACAAACAGAAAATAACAGGCTGTATTGCCTTAGAGCAGAGTGATATGTAAGTGAGCAGGGAGCTCATTAGATTGGGTAGCCCTTAAAAGGTCTTTGGCTCAGTGGTTGAGCGTCAGCCTATGAACCAGGAGGTCATGGTTCGATATCCAGTCAGGGTACCTGCCTGGGTTTCGGGCTTGATCCCCAGTGTGGGCGTGTAGGAGGCACCCAAATTCTCTCTCATCATTGATGTTTCTATCTCTCTTTCCTTCTCCTTTCCTCTTTGAAATAAATAAAAACATATATATATATATATTTTAAAAAATCACACTCAGCGTCTAGCTCAGTGGTTCTCAACCTGTGGGTAGCGACA